CACACACACACACACACACACACACACACACACACACACACACACACACACACACACACTTACAAACACACATACACCAACACATGCGCATACATACATATCCATGCACAGACACACTCTCTCAGTGACTCACACACAGGCACACACATACACACATACGCACACAGAGCACACCTGCACAGACATAACTGGGGGGCTTCGGGGTTCGGGGATGTGGGGGCGGATAGTTTAGAGGGCTTCTGGGTGGGCTTGGGGACTGGTGCCGAGGGGTTGGTCAGTGGTGGGTGGCAGGTCAGTTGGTGTTGGTCTCATTCGGTGGTATAAGAGGTGCTTCAGGGGGGTTGGGGGAATGCTTTTTTTTTTTTCAGTGGGGGGGGTTTGAGTGTGTGCAGCTGCCTAGGGCCACGTGTTCCGGCCCCCGCGCATCAATTCCGGTTTTCCGAAAAGCGCAGGAGCGGCCAATTTTCGCGTTTAACGGGAATTCAACGGGATTTTTTTCAGTTTAACGGGGATTCAACGGGAGTTTCATTCCCCCGTTCCCCGTTAAAAAGACACAGACTGGGACACTCTGGGGGCAGGTCAGAGCGTCTTCCAAGACCCGCTGCGGTGCTGCGCAATTTAGGAGTTACAGTAGAATACTCTTTTCCGTCCACCTACCTTTTTTTTTTCAATATTTTCTTAGTACCTAGTCATACTCCAGCTTATGTCATCGTACTTCCCCCGTAAGCTTACAAGGTGCTACCCTAGGTCTGACTCCGAAACCATACTCGTGGGTTGCTGCCTACCCCTCCCTCCCCCCCCAGCCCCCCATTTGCACAGGGATGGCCTGGTGGGCCGGAGGCCCAGCCGTTTCGAAAAGGAATGGTCTGCCTGGACCCCTGCTGGAGGCTGCACCCAGCGGACCAGCTTTATAGGGGCAGGAGGTAGATGGCGGGTGGTGCTGGTGTGGAGCTTTATAGGGGCAGGAGGTAGATGGCGGGTGGTGCTGGCCGGGACCCCAGCGGCGGTCCAGGCAGTCCAGTTTGTAACACAGACTCTAGTATGAAATGTGCCAGCATGTCAATTGGTGGAGAGCTGCAGTACCGCCCACCCCACCCTATACATAGTACAACCCCATGGTGGTCCCGATCCCATAGCATCACCTAACCACCTACCCTATACATAGTTCGACCCCGGCCCATAGTATCACCCGCCCCTCGAATTCATCCGAAACCCTCGTTGTATTAGTCATTCTGTAGACCTCACATCGTATCACTCGGCCCATAATGCCACCCGCTCCACATAGTTTTTTCTGCACTTTTTTTTTTGCACCTACTTCTTGGGGCGGGGGGGGRGGGGGGGTATTTTCGCATGTTCTCTTTTTTGTTTTTTTTTTCCCCGGGCCATTTGCCACATAATCCTTTTTGTTTTTGCTGTTTTGCTTTTTTTTGGTTTTCCTTCTGGCGTCTATGAACCGGAGGTTTTATAGTCGAGTAGCATATAGCTGGGCTGTTTGTCCTTGTGAGACTCCCACCCCTGTCCGACGCAGTGTCCGTCCCCCAATGCATGGTGAGCTGCAATTTTTTTGTTGTTCACACTCTGCATGGTGAGCTGCAAATTTTTTTGTTGTTGTTCACACTATGCGTGGTGAACTCTGCTTCACTTTAGCAACAATGAAATCTGCGCACCTACCTCAATTCACGGCATTTGTGTCACATCGTTTTATCAGATCCATCTTCTCATGTCAGTCGGAGGCTCCGACTCATTTCTGGCTTTTTTTTTAATGTATGGCTGAACGGAAAAGAGTTTTACCTCCTTTTTATGTGGTCTTCGTCATATCTGTTATTTGATAAACTGGAAATTAATAAATTATGAGTTGCAGACAAAATCTGGTCATTCATACAAAACAATGCTCTGTGACCTTTCAATGCTGGTCCCCACAAATGAAATTTGCCGGGGGGTACTATGTGGGTTGCCAGGGGGTACTATGTGGGTTGGATACTGCTATGTGGGCTGGTTTGCGGAACCCCCCCCCGAAAAGAAAGAACCCTGCTTAGGGGTAATCACATCTCATCAAGAAGTCTAATAAGGTATAGGCGGAGTGTGAAGAAGTAATTGACAAGGGAAAATTATGTACTTGCACACTTTTGTTGGTGTTGTTTGATTGTGTGCAGATGGTGAATGTAATTTTCATATGTATATAAGCTTTTTTAAGTGAAGCCAGTTCGCGCTTGATACCATCGCACAGAACACCGAATACGGATTGGGGCCAAATGGCAGTGGAGCAGAGGAAGTGCTGGGGCACTCACCCACTCCACATAGTACCACCATCGCACAGAACACCGAATACGGATTGGGGCCAAATGGCAGCGGAGCAGCGGAAGTGCTGGGGCACTCACCCACTCCACATAGTACCGCCATGCCTCACATAGTACCACCCGCTCCGCATACCCACATAGTACCGCACATGCCACATAGTACCATCCACCCCACAAAGTACCACCCTCCATGCTTTCGTGGGCCCTCCACATAGTACCGCCCATGCCACATAGTGCCACCCACTCCACAAAGTACCACCCCACATGCTTCCGTGGGCCCTCAACGTAGTACCGCCCACCCCACATAGTACCACCCCACATGCTGTTGTGGGCCCTCCACATAGTACCTCCCACTCCCACACCACATAGTACCACCCATCCTACATAGTATTAGTACCACCCACTCCCCCCCCCCCCCCCCCCCCCCCTACCACCCCCACCACATAGTACCACCCACCCCACATAGTAACTCACTCCACATAGTACCACCCACTCACTCCACATAGTACCACCCACTCACTCCACATAGTACCACCCACTCACTCCACATAGTACCACCCACTCACTCCACATAGTACCACCCACCCACTCACTCCACATAGTACCAACCCAGACTGCATTGTACAGACCAGCATACATACCACAGCCCCCAGCCCGGAGTCACCGNCCACCCACTCACTCCACATAGTACCAACCCAGACTGCATTGTACAGACCAGCATACATACCACAGCCCCCAGCCCGGAGTCACCGATCCCATTATCTGAAATTCCAAAAATGTCCACTCTCGATAGCATGTGATCTACGGAACAGGGCGAAAGCAAAGAGGGCCCACGACAGTTTTTCTTGTCCAGATGAATTCCAAATGGCCCGGAAAAACTGCCAGATGGCCTTCCATTGTGTTAGGCCTCCCTATCATCACCATGCAGCCATCACCATCGTCAATCGTTGTTGTCCTGCAGCAATCATCGTCGTTCGCACGCAGCCATTGTTGTTTGTTGTCCAGCCACCATGGCCACCTCCCTGCCATTGCACCCCGCCTATATGGCTCCACACCAGCTCCGCCATCTACCTCCTGCCCCTATAAAGCTCCACACCAGCACCACCCACCCTCTACCTCCCCCTATACGGCTTCCCACCAGTTCCGCATCCCCACCCATTCTTCTTTTTCCTCCCAAGCATCCTCCCATTCTTCTAAGAATATTCTTCTCCTTCTCCTGCAAAACGCGCCTGCGCACCCATAATCCACCCTTTAGCACATCTGTCATCTCAGTCCCTCTTTCTAAGAGAGAGAAACCGACCTAACAGGCCCCTTAGGTTACACCGATATCGACCCGGCGACTTCTATTCCCGCTTCTACCCAGGTCGACAAGCCCACACCTGGGACATATGTGAGACCAGGTCGGATAGAGAGCATTCTCGCACGGAAGCCTCTTTCAAATACAGCGAGAACCCGACCTAACGAGCCCCTTAGGTCACACGGATACTGGCGAGGCGACTTCTTCTATTCCTTGTTCTTGCCAGGTCAACCAGCCCACACCTTGGACATTTGTGAGACCAAGTTGGAGAGAGAGAGAGAGCATTTCAGCATGGAAGTCCTCTGGCACAGGAAAGCAAACCCTTGTGCCATACAAGAAGCCACCCAACATGACCAGTTTCCAGCTCAGCAGCTGTTATTCCTCACACGGCGGGAGCTGACACCAGCCAGCTCTCTCCTCTCTCTCACTCCCCAAGCCTGCACTCATGCAGTCCACATTACATTGGGCCTCGCTGCACTACTCTCCAAATGTGGCAAACGAGATCGAATCTTCTGTTAGAACTTAGAACATGGAAAGATACAGAGCCATGATTTTTGTCTTTTGTGCATGTCGAGAGTAGCGCAGCGAGGTCCATTGTCCACTTAACACCTCGTTTGCGTAAACAATTCGATATTTCCTTAAGTAGAGATAGTTTTAGGTCACTGTACCGCCCGCAGAAAACAGATTGATCTGAATTACGCACCCACGACTGTCCCGAGCACCGTAGCAAAAAGCTAAGGAAACAGTACTAACACAAAAAAAAGAAAGGAAAAATGGACAGAGCAGCAGAGCACAACTTGAAGCCAGTTGGTCGCAGAACCTGCTCAGGGAAAAAAAAAGTCAGAGATCAAGCACAACTTTGACACGTCTCTTCCACGAGAAAAGAAAAAGTACGAAAAAGAAACGATGAAAGAAAGAAAGAAAGAAAGAAAGAAAGAAAGAAAGAGAGAGAAAGAGGGCACTTCCATGTCGCACAAAACATCATTACAGAAGTTATTAGGTCGTTCACAATAGACCGTCAGCAATAAACCAAATAATGACCAGATAGATATACAAACCTTCTCCAACGCCTCCGGTGCCTCTGTTCAAGAAGCTCTCCACAACGCAGGCTACAGAACTCCACCTACGTAAAGGCAACCCCCGCTTCTGTGATCGTCCGCGAGCGTCCGAGCGCCGAGCGTCTTTAAAGTTGCGAAGACTTTGACGATGCCGTCCGTCGACCAGATCAATCGCATTGTCATATCACTGTTTGCGTTCGACAGACACTAACTCAACTCAACTCAACTCAGTTGTCCGGCGCGGTAAACGGATTGGCTGAAATTCAGATGCACTGTCCGTAGTTTTTTCCGTGATCGTAGAATTGCCGATGCCGTCCCCCCGATCCATCCCGTTCGTCCACCAGATCAATGCCATTGTCATATAACTGTTTATTATGTTTGACATCCCGTTCGTCCACCAGATCAATGCCATTGTCATATCACTGTTTACTATGTTTGACAGACACTATAACTCAAGTCAACTCAGTTGTCCGGCGCAGTAAATGAATTGGCTGAAATTCAGATGCACCATCCCTTGGTTTCCCTGGTCGTAGAATTTGAAAATGCGATCGGCGAGTTGCAGGAAGCAGCAGAGCGAAATGTAATCGTCCATCTTCAACATGCCCGTGCGCGCCGGGTCAAACGCCTGACACGCTGACGCCAGCGCCGGCTGCTCAACATTAAACTGCAGTCTTCTCAGCGCCTGTAGAACCTCGTGGAACGTAAGAACACCGTTGCGGTCTCTGTCGTACATGTAAAAGCTCTCGGACACCTCGCAGAGAAAATTATGCAGCTGAACGAACTCTTTGAACGATATCTGTCCGCTCTGATCCTGATCATACATCCTGATCATCTGACTGATCGTCCGCATCGGGAAGTGAAGATTTCCTACAGCCAATGCCCTCCGTAACTCTTCGGCATTCACAGCACCGCTTCTATCCAAGTCCACTGATGCAAACCATTGCTGTAATACCTGGTCGCTCGTATGTGCCGCCATCAGGACAGCGAGCGGTACCTCACCGGTGGTCGCACACTAGTAGCAAACGTTGCCAGCCAACACACACGCGCTCTCATGCACACAAAGACCCACACTCTTTGGAACACGCGCTACCCTACAGCATCAACAAGCAGGCACCACCACCAAAAGCCAAGTGAAAACCACAGACAGTGACCAAACATGTCATCAGATTCTGCTCATCTACTACAGCATTCTCCTTTTATTTTTCAAAAATGTGCGTCATCCTTTCGCAGGGGCCATGCTAATCTTGCCTGCCAAGCCGTTGGTTGTGTGTTCGAGTCTTGTATTCGGATCACACGTGCTTTCCCGCAGTAACCTCCGTAGAGATTGTACTATGTGCAGTGTGGCTGCGTAGGGTTGAGTGTGGTTGGGTACACCGTGTCGCGGGATCTCTGTGATGGGGTGGGGTGAAGTGCTCATCTTGGGGCATCACTTTCACCCCAGCCCTCTTAGCCTTATGGTTAGGTGTTTGCCTGCCAAGCCGTTGGTTGATTACACATGCTAATCTTCTCTGTGTATTGTTCCAATTCTAACACACGTCAAGAATTCAATTACAATACAAAGACCCTTTCGCACTTCAGTAGAAACGGATTCAATTCCCTTAAATCACCACATTCCTCACACAGGATATGTGTCTAGCTTTTCCATGAGGCACAAAGTGTCGATTCCATCAAAGCATTGGCCACAGCATAGGCACCTTTCTTAAACCACTAGTACACGGCCCGAGCAGCCTTGCAGAATTTTTTTTGTCGCCACATTGGCCACAAGCAAATCTCAGTGGCGCGCCGTGCAGCCAGGGGTGCCGTTGAAAATAAAAATCGGCAGCCTCGGCCCCGAAGTGGTGCGGGTTTCATGCTGACACCCACGGGGCGATTTGTGGTGTACTGGTGCTTTAAGCAGAAATGGGCCCCACTTGTTTCGGTTTGGGAAGATTTTTTGCTGTGGGCTATATATATCGTCAAATAGAACTGCCCGGTAAACCGTAGGCAGAGAGGCAGAAGAGGACAACAAACGAGGGGCTGTGACAAACTGTTTCGTATATATATGTGTGTTTTTCAAAGATCCCGGAATTCTCCCTCCCTCTCATTCCACCCCATAAATCATCACAGACCATCCATAATAAAGAAAAAAAGATACAGATCACAATACATTAGAAGATGCAAGGTTGCCCACGTTTGTGTGGTTAACCGGCAAGTGCCCACACACACACACACACACACACACACACACACACACACACCCGTCTGCCGCCAGAGCACCACACTTGCACAAATATGTTATGCTCTCACACTTGCACAAATATATTACTGAGATAATTACTCCTTTGACCAGGTAAGTAGTTAGATGCATACTGCCGCTCTTTGGACTGACGAGCGCGTAAATTGGTGGGCCCCACAGAAAATCGTGCGTCACTCACGTGGTGCGCTGCGTGCATCCACCTACCTCCTTCCGCCGAATAGAACGTACGGTCATTATAACTGTATTTAGACTGAAAAATACCCCAAAAACAGCTATAATGACCGTACGTTGTATTCGGGGGAAGAAGATAGGTACGGTACGACTACCCACGTGCGTGCATTCACTCCCACGTGTGCTGCGTGCATCCATAAACGTGCATTCACTCCACCTACCTTCTTCCCCCGAATACAACGTACGGTCATTTAGAACGGTCATTATAGCTCTGTATTTAGACTGAAAAGTACCCCCAAAACAGCTATAATGACCGTACGTTGTATTCGGGGGAAGAAGGTAGGTACGGTATGACTACCCACGTGCGTGCATTCGCTCCCACGTGTGCTGCGTGCATCCATAAACATGCATTCACTCCAGCAGAGCATCGACTCACGTGTCTTGTGTGTTCACGTGCCTGGCTCTCTGAACTTGCACGAGCGTGATCTTTTGTGCAAACGGCTATGTCCGCTAGACGCACGTGAGGCCGGTACAACCGCATTGACGATGTTCAGAAGCGAAAGATCGTCTAAGTCTATATCTTCATTGAAGGCAAAACGTTTGCAGAGACTGCAGTACAGGAGCAGCAGGCCTGTGATTCAGATGCATGTGACTACAATAACATGCAAAATTCCTTCACTAATTTTCATTTGATCTCTTCGTCGGTCCCGATGGTCTGTGCAGAATCTCAAATCGGTTGATTGTTGGACTAGATGTGGTTTTGGCAATACTAATAATTTGTTAAATCAATCCGCCCAACTCTATCAAACGTCGTCCAACCTGTTAAATCCTTTTGTCCAAAATGCTCATCCCAACCTATATCTGGTATGTCCAAAATGCTCACCATTTCTCCCAACCTTTTTTTTTTTTTTTTTTTTTTTTTTCGTGGGGAGCAGCACGTGCTGGGAACCGGGCCCAGCGTCCAACCTAAATCTGGTATGTCCAAAATGCTCATCACTTCTCCCAACCTAAATCGGCTTTCCAAATCAGTTCTGATAATGTACTAAATAGGAAACTCGAACCGACCAATTCGGTTTGATGGCTGTCCAATTGAATTTTCGTTTGTCCAAATCGAAATCGCTTCACCTCGATCCTATCTTACCTGGCCAAAGGAGTATCTTATACCCCGTAAAGGGGTCTAAGGTCATAAGGCAAGGCACTGGCACTGATACTACTACTCATCTCAAGCGACTCAATCAGGTCATCATCACCCCCATCATCTCCATGGCTATAGACCTACTCCCTTTCACTTTGCTGTCTGGCCCCTGGAGTGAAATTAGTTGCACCGCAACAAAAAAAGCTCCACCAATCAAAAAAAGCACCTGCCATGCAGCGAATGGCGTGAGAAAACTTAGAGAGCCCTCTGTGTCAGAGCCCACAAAGCCACCATAAAATCCCACCAAACTCCACAAGATCTCCACGCAACACTATGAGCGCTACTGCTTAAACCCACCAGTACTTGGCCCAGATATCGATGCCGAGCCTCAGAGCAGAGCACCCTGCGCGCCACGTTTTGACGAACCGCCAGCGCAACGTTTTGTTTTCATTTTGGCGGGCGCCTCCAGCCATTGTGGTGCGGCGCGTTAATGGGGAAGCGCCGCGGCCGATAGCTGGGCCAAGTACTGGTGGTCTTAAACACTCTGGAGGCGCCCGTTTCTTCCATGTGCTCCAAAAGAGCAACCCGTGGGAATGACACCCACAGCAAACACCCACTGAGCCATCTTGCGAAGATACCGTGGCCAAAACCCAAAACATAAATCCCYCCCCCCCCCCCCCCCCCCCCCYCYCAAAAAAAAAAAAACATGAAGCCACCCCACAGAAATTCCTTCATGAAAAAGACAGCCCTCGCTATAAAGCAGCGCAAAGAACTAGGCCATACATACTGTCACACTGTGAATAGGAGCTCAAAGGCGGAAAAAGACAAAACAAGAAAAGGAAAAGAAGGAAGGAAGGAAGGAGAGCCCCACCTGTTCATCACCTCTTACGTACAAGGCTAGCCATGTGGATGACAGGTTGAGCGCTGGCTGCCCCCATCCCCGTGTGTCACAAGGACCCACCCATGTGTACGCAGCCAAAAGGCAAAAAAGAGGTAGAGAAAGAAAAGGAGGAGGAAACCAAAACTGACAGGGAAAGAAAGCCTATGAGTCAAACAAAGCAAATGACACATCTGCGAGGCTCAACGCCTCGCTACGCCCTACTGGGCCCTATTTTCAGCACAGTCGGCCGCCCTAACTGAAGGCAGGCTCGACCAAGGCATACAGGGCCATTTTTGGGGTCACCACCCAACTGGGGAAATTCAGGCAGTTGCGCAGCGCCAGTTGGTTGAGAGCGCCCAGGCCCAGGCTGCCTCTTTCGAATGTAACTGAGGCAGGCCCTGGGCCAGATTCGCAACATGAACCGAACACAGGCCGAGGGCAGTTGGACACGTGCAACCACCAGAGGCCCAGGGCCTGATTCGTTTGGACTGGGGCTCAGCCTCTCTGGGCCTACCGGAAGCTTCTGGGCAGGGGCCCAGCGCAGCCAGGCTGCACGCGAGCAGGCAGGCCACTTCCATTTAGGAAAGGGCCTGCCCACGCATTGGGGATTCGGGCACTGGATGCACACTGCGCAAGCGCTGCTGCGCTATACGCTGGCCAGCGCTCACGCGCTCACAGGCGAGCTGGAAGGAGCAGGCAGCCATAGCCGAGCTGCGCTGCTGTATGCGGGATGGGGCGCATGGTGGTCCTTGGGTGCACGTGGCATCTGTGAGTGGGGGATCGAGGTTGTGAATGATACGAGAGACATACCGGGTGCTTGAAGCGAACGGCATTGGCTGAGATCTGCTCGTACTTCGGGGAAGCTGTTGACGTCACCAGCGGCATTGTAGATTAGGCTAGATAGGATCTGCCATGAGTAATCTGGGCGCAGAGCGCCAGATAGGATGTCGACATTGGTTCTTTGTCGATGATGATGAGACTATTCGAACATTGTCACTTATGAGCTTTTGCGGTGCTCTTATTTGGTGGGACTCGTGTTGCAATTCTGCTTTTGGTTCGATGTAACGACTATCTGGTCTCATGTGTATGATGCTGCTTGGTTTCTGAAGTTCGCTATCGCTCATTTTCCTTGCACATCCCACATTATAATCCAATTGCCACAAAGCAAATAACACATCCCACAGATCAACATATTTTTTATTTTTTCTTATTTTCCCATTTTCTTATTTTCTTATTTTTTCTTATTTTCTTATTTAAAGTTTTTTTTTTTTTCTTATTTTCTTTTTTTTTTTCTTATTTTCTTATTTTTTCTTTTTTTCTTTTTTTCTTTAACTCCGTCCACATTATAATCCAATTGCCACAAAGCAAATAACACATCCCACACATCACCATATTTTTTCCTTTTTCTTATTTTCTTACTTTCTTATTTTTTTCTTATTTTCTTATTTTCTTTTTTTCTTTAACTCGGTATCTGTCGGTAGTGTCGAAGGCTTTATCTGTCCCCACCTCGGCACATAGGACAGCTATGGTGAGGATGACGTGGATGTTCACAAGGGTACCCAAGGAGAGCTGCGCCAGCACAGCATTCAGCAGGACGGCTAGCACGAACCATCCCATGAAAACAGTCCTTACAGAGGACATCATGATGTTGTCCACATGTCAAAAGAAC